TTTCACACACTTTTTTTTCAATTGTGAACCTGAAAGGAACTACAATGTCTCTTGGTATAATAAATTTCTCTTTATTATGAATCATGATATGCTGCAATTTTAATTCTCATTGCAATTAGTAACTCAAGAGCACCTAGTTGTTTGTTTGGATTCTTTGTCTTCTTCACATTGTCCAGGGAATTACCACAGCATTAGAAATGTTTGATGTAATTCTCATCTTCCAAAAAGGAAAAAAAAATGGTTCCAGGAAACTATAAACCAATCAGCCTGACATCAATACATGGAAAGATTCTGGAAAAGTAACCAAGCACCAAATCTGCAAGCACCTAGAGGCAAACAGAGTCATAACCAAAAGCCAACATGGGTTTCTCAAAAACAGATCATGCCAGACAAACATTGCATTTTTGACAATGTGACAAAATTAGTGACTAGCAAAAACCTTGGTTTATAATTTACTTGTACTTCAGTAAGGCATTTGATAAAGTTGACCACAATCTACCACTTGATAAAATAGAAAATTGTGGATTAGATAGCATCACCCCCATTTGTAACTGGCTGATCAACTGCACTCAACCTGTAGTCCTTAAAGGAATTGCATCTACATGGAAGGAAATATGCCATGAAGAACCCCAATGCTCTGTCTTAAGCCCAGTACTCTTCAGTATCTTCATCAATGATTTAGACAATGAAATAAAAAAGCCAACACTAGGCTACATTAATACAGGAATATAATCAAGATCATGTGAAGTGTTAATACCACTTTGTAATGTCTTTAAGACCACACTTGGAATAGTGCATCCAGTTTTGGTTTCCACAATACAAAAAGATGTTGGACTCTAGAAAGAGTGTAGAGAAAAGAAAGAAAGATGATGGAGAATTAAACATTACAGGAATTGGGTATGAATTAAACTTAATTTCTTATAAAGGAGGACTAGGGGCGATATGATAGCAGTTTTTCAATATCTAAGGGGCTGCCACAAAAAACAGGGGATCAATCTATTCTCCAAAGCACCTGAAGTAGAAGAAGCAATGGATGGAAACTAATCAAGAAGAGAACCAGCCTAAAACCTACATGACTCTCTTGTCTAATATGGGATGAGAAACAGGCTGTGAACTAGAAAGGGCAAGAAGCTGATTTACTTTAACTTATTTGTATTTTCAGCTGATGAAGTCAACATCTCAAGAAATAAATGCTATTGTGCATTTCAAGGGGAAGAAATAAATCTTTAGTCCCTTAATCTATAAATCTTTACATCAATGAATTTTCTCTTAATATTATAATCCCCATCTGGGATTACACATTTTTAACAAGTGTGACTAATAAAACCATAGAGTTTGCTTTCCCAAGGTTATTAATAACTTGATTTATTCTCATCTACAGCAACAAAACTAAATAGACAACTCATGAGTCAGATTTATTAAAAAATGCATCACACTCTTGCAATAGGATATCCATTTTATGGGGAAATGGCCAAAATAAATTTAATTAAATCCCTGAAAGAATTCTTTGAAATCTCTTTGTCCCCACTTCTTTGCTATGCAAATAGCCATTTGAGGTCAAGATAGAATATGAACCAATATATTTAAGAATTAGAATTATTTCCACTTGCTTTTAATTATTGATGTCAGACATCTTTCAGATATCTTTAAAAATGCTACAACCAAAAAGTAAAACAAATAAACTTTAGAGGACTACTCTGCACAAGCCAAGTGTTCTCTGAAGAATCCAATCCATAATTATTAGAGTCAGCAGTCAGCAGGAACACAGAAGATATGTATTTCATTGTTAAAAATAATAATTTTAAAATGTTGACCTCTTAGGAAATCAATAGGAAAGACTATTTGTAGCTCAAGTTTTAACTGTGGGATCCATGGTGCTCTCTGAGCTTGGTTGTTTTCTTGCAGATATGTCATTAGCCAATTAGGTAAAATAAGAACTAAAAGGGAGTGGGGTTTGCTCTTCGGCCCTACTTTCTTCTGTCACTGGACATGTTGCCTAGTTGGCTAATGAAATGTGTGCATGAAAACAACCAAACTCAGATAGCACCAAAGACCCCCTCCGTCATAAGGGATCAATATTCCTTTATCAAAACAAACAAAAAGTAACTACAAATCCAGCTATCTTATTTCTCCTACAACCAAAGACAACTTTATAAAGTGAAAAATTATATTGTGAGAACATATACCATAAAAACAGTATTTGTGCCATGATTATAAAGCTGAAGTGAGGAGTCAAGCTCAATATACGAAAACATACACTGGCTTTCAAACCAAAGGCTTATTTGTTTCATTCTGACTTTAATAAACAATGCTATTTACATTCTAGAGGCTGCAGTGAACAATTTCATAACAGTTGTAATATTAATCACTTAAAACATATATCCTAACAATTACAAATAATCAATTACTATGAAATACTTGCGCCCAGGAATATAACAATGGCTGAAGTTTTTCAATTCCTTATATTGGCAGGAGGAGTGGGCAAAGGACAAAGTCTTTATTTTTTCCCCAATTTCCTAAGCATTCTGCAAAATGGGAACTAATACTGATGGTTCAGAAGATATTCTTGGCCTTTAATTTTTAAAAGTGCCATTCATACATCATAACCCACAATAATAGGTATCAGTTTGCTAAGCAAGTCATTGCCCGGTGATCTCTGACTGCTGATTCCAGGAATCCTGCCCTACAGGAAGGCATTGAACACAAATTCTACTAAGTGATTCAACATCAATCACAAAGTCATACACTGCTTAAGCATAATTTATTGACTAAGCCACAGTCTGCAGCAAGACGTAGAAAGAAGGATGGGAACTACCCAGCTCTCTTTTTTCTTCTTTACAGACTTACAGTGAAAAGCTGCTTTCAGCCACTTAATTCTTTCTTAGTCACCGAAGACTGGACTAAGAAGGAATGTGTCAACTTCTCAGCATTATCCAAGTACATTTCATAGAGTTCCAATACAGCAGAAAAAGTAGTTCCCCCAAAAGGACAAAATAAGCATGATTTACTCAGAGTACCTACATAAGAGGATGTTTAACCCTGCCCCTCAAGCACTATTTACATGCAAGTATACTAAGTAATACTAGGGAAAGTTATTATTGTTAGTTGCAAAGTTGTATCTGACATACTGAAACCCCATGGACAATATTCCTCCAGGCCCTCCTGTCCTCTACCATCCGCTGAAGTCCACTAAAGCTCACAGCTACTGCTTCATCCAGTGACTCGATCCAGCCACCTCATTCTCTGTTGTCCCATTCTTCTTTTGCCCTCAATCTTTCCCAGCTTTAGGCTCTTCTCCAGTGAGTCCTTCCTTCTCATTAGATGGCCAAAGTATTTGAGTTTCATCTTCAGGATCTGGCCTTCTAAAGAACAGTCAGGAAAAGTATACAGCTCTAAAGTCTCTTTCATGTCCTTTAGAGCAATAGGCAAGGAATAGGATCAAGATGTCAACTGTGGAAATATCTCTTTTTTCCTCAAATATTAGCCCCTGTGTAAATTGCCCAACTTCTGTGTAACTTAAGGATTTCCCTTCAAAGCAACAAGAATGAGAGGAGGGCACTAGCATTTCTTTTAAATGTTTTAAATTTTTGCATAAACTGTCAGAAAGGAGTTTTTGCCAACACAGCAGACAAAGCATTTCTTTTTTATAAGACAGGTAGAAAAGGAGAGATTGAATCATGGTAATTTCCATTGTCTTTGGTGTTTGGTGACAGTGAAAAAGAAAATTGTACCACAGACTTCAAAACCATTGCCAAGTGATTACATGATAAATTTGCTTCATTAATCAGTAACAGAAAAACAGAACCCTTTGTTGGCAAGTACAAAATACAGTCCAAAGGGTGTTTTAGCCCAAGAAATAGAAGTGTCAGAAAATTCGCTCTCAAGAACAGCTGACAAGAACAATCAGAAATAGGGAAAAAACAATGCGTCATTTTTTTTTTATAAATGTAGTCCAAAATAAACATTTTAAGTCAGTGTTGATTGGTAAGAATGACCCAAAATTTTACTTATTTTGTTTATTGTAAGCTACTTGGTTTTTATAATTTTGCTTCATCCTCAAAAGGTGTTTTCTGCAGAGGAGCACGATTGTGTGAGAATCCATACACAAAAAAGATCACACTATTGTCTATTCTGCCCCTCACTCATGTTGTGTTGTGCTGTGCTGTGCTGTGCTGTGCGTGTATGTGTGTCAAATATTCAGAAAAATAATGCCAACACCATTAAAATAAAGATCCCATAAACAATCCATCAATCACTGGGGGGGGGGGGGAGTCAGATTTTAAGATTCTTTTTTTGTTTTTTGTTTTTAAAAAACCAATCAGGATAAGGACCGAATTAACTTTGGAGAAGATAGTTACAAAGCCATGTGATGTAATAGAGAGGTTCACTACCCGGCCTGTGAAGGAAGACATTTTGAATATTTAAAAACTAAAAATGTATGCATATAAAAGTATTAAGGGGCAAAAATATTTAATATTGTCTCTACTATAAGTCAATGCAATTTCATAGATTGCATGGATAGAAAAGAAATAAATATTATATACATATGGCACAGGGTAGAAATAGAGGATCAGATGAGCTATGAAAAAAAGCTTATTCATATGAAGGTCAGAAAGCACTATCCTGATTATGATGGAACATTACAGTATACAAAAATGTTAAAATATGATTAGCTACAATATCCACCCAAATTTAGATTGGTTGACAAAGTCACAGGAGCAAAAATGATATCTAAAGCAATACATAAAAAGGGACTTTTAAAATAATTTGAGAAAATATTCTTCTAGAAATCTCTTTTTTCCCTGTAAATGCTTATAGAAAAATAAAGAACAAACCCGATTCTATAGGAATGTATTCTTTCAATGCATTCAGGCTTAATGGACGGACAGAACTGGTGTACCCATTGGGTCAGTTAGTTTCTAACGAAACAACAATACAAGATCCTGTAAGTAGAAATAGTACCATCCTTAACTAAGCTGTAAAGTACAAGAAATTCCTACCTTTCTTTTTAGACTCTTTCTTTGTGCTGGTTTTAACAGCCACTTGAAGTTCTGTCTCAGTTGACATCCTATTGTATCCTTAGTCCTCTTCACACAGATCCAGTATCTTGGCCAGGCTCATTTAGAACAATTCTTCCAGAGAATTACTTAGCTTTTCAAATACTAGAATCGAAAGAGCTCATTTCATTCACCCTTTTGAAGTGCTATAATAAAAAAACAACACAATTAAACCATCTTAAGAATAAGTTTTCTAAGACATATAAAGGTTCAGTTGAAACTACCTATGTAATTTATGTTAATTCTCATGTGTGTTAAGAAATAACTCTTATTTTCTGTTTGTCAACATTTATGAGAGTTATATTAATTTCAGTGGGATATTTACAGTAGGTAACAAATAAATACTATGAATAAACCTTGATGTTTACTAAAGTCCTGAAAATTTCTTACAATTTCTACACCTAAACATGCATAAAAGTTATAAACATACATGTGTTGTATTTCTAGTTTCTGCTGGTTAATGATGGCAATAAAGTTATTTGTATTCACATTTATAGTGAATGTGTGAAAAATGGGTAAGTTTACATCTAATTTTTCCTCTGTGAGCTGAAAATAGCTTATAGTGCAACCTTTTCATATTATCTTCCAAACAACTTCTTTTGCCTAAGATTAGATATGTACCTGGTTCTCTATTGCCCTTAACACTTCAATCCAACAACAACTCACTGGAAATTGTATACATAAAATGTTATATTTTATTACAGCTGTAAGAAATTTCATAGGTGTGCTTCAGTTTGCAGGAAACCCAACAGAAACACTTCTTCAAAGCAGCATCATAGAGACCGAAGTGCTATCATACCTATTAGAATAGTCATCATGCTATAATCCTGATATTATAAGAGGCTTGAAATAAAAGTCTAAAACAGGATGGTAAATTTCAATACTTTGAGTTGAAGTGATGCAATTCTATTTTCTGACTATCAATGACAGACTCAAATTAATTTATTATTACTGCCCAGATCAATCCAATATCTCAAGACAGAATGGCCCTCCTACACACAGCTCCAGCAGATAATTAACTACCATACATTCAATGTACAAAAAAGAATCAGAACAAATACTCAATGTACAGTTCCTTCGCCACTAGCCCACCTGATTGCACAAATGTTTTTGTATATAGCTACCAAGCTACTGCTTGAAAGGGAAGTTATAAACACTGTGGTAACAAAACAGACTACTGTTTAAACCTATCTTTTCTTTATTTTAGTATAATTCTATATTTGGACAAAATCACACACTTGAACCCATTTTTTTTTCTTTTTATGAACCTGTAATCCAGGGGTGTCAAAATCAAGGTTGTGGCCCTGATCCAGTCCATGGAGTACTTAGATCTGGTCCACAGGGCTGCCCTGGAAACAGAGAAGGACTTCTGTCAGTAAAAATGGAGCTTGCATGCAGCCCTCTTGACCTCCATTTTCGCTAGCAGAGGGTTGCAGGAGGCCGTGGCAGCCGAAAATGGAGCTTATGAGCCCATTTTCACTAGCAGAGCACTCGGGCCACCATAGGCACCCCAATACAGTGATGTCAAGCTGACCATGCCTACCCTTGCTATGCCCATCCCAGACCCCCAGAAGTCAAACACAACCCTGATGTGGCCCTCAATGAAATTGAGTTTGAGTTTGGGGTGGGTTCAAGGTGACAGAGTGGAGTTGAGCATTTACTGGCCAGATGTCCTTCCTGACACCTATGCAAAGTTTGCAGCAAATATTTTCTCTTTGCACCCTGATAGAAAAACGTCTCTCTCTGCCTAGGATTGAACTCTTAACCTTCCGAGTGGGAGGTGAGACTCTTCACCTCTAGCCATCGCATCGCTCACACTCTTCAATACAATAATTTAATTTCAAATATATGCTAAATATATAAATGTTTTCTTCATCATTTTTTCCACTATTTATGAACATTTTATATATCTATCTTGTGTTCCTTTCAAAACAGCATATCAACCATTTTCTTATTCATGGGAAAAGCACTTTTAGTTGCACAGAGAAATCTGGCTGTTCTGTTCAGAAGCATGCCACTGTTGCTATTGTACTAGAAAACTCATTCATGTAAGGCTATAAGTATGACTGATGCTTTATAGAATACTCTGTGTGATGCAACAGAAGCGTATCAGCATCAGCTATTGAATGATAGAAAAAGATTGTCGTTCTATTGGAATTCTGATTCCTTTATAGTCTCAGATCTTAAAGCTGCCTGGGCTTTTGTTTAGCATGATAGCCACTACCAAAAACAACACTAGTTTTATTGAATTAAACACTAACAGCCAAAGTACTGTTGATGACTAAATTGTCTTATTTACTTATATCCCACCTTTATTATGTTTTTAAATTTATTGAGGCAGCGAACATACCCAATACCCCTTCTTCCTCCCATGTTCCTCCTAAGAACAACCCTGTAAGGAAAGTTAGGTTGAGTGAATGACTGGCTCAAAGTCAAACAGCTGACTTTCATGGCAGGACTAGAATTCACTGTCTCCCACTTTCTAGCCTAGTATCTTAACCACTAGGCCCGTGATGGTGAACCTAAGCCACATGTGCTACAGATGGCACACAGTGCCCTCTCTGTGGGCACACGAGCCGTCACCTTACTTCAGCTCTACTGCACATATATGTGCACCTCTCACCAGCCACCTGGTTGGGTCTCTGCTATGCATGAGCAGGCAGTGGGGTATATGCAAGGGGTGCACAAATGAACAGAGGGTGTGGCATGTGAGGAGACCATATGCACAGAGGCCACATGTGCACTTCATTTGGGGGGGTGGGTTCAGGCATACACGTGCGCATTCATGCAGTTATCACTGCACTAGGCCAATACTTATTCTGAAATATTTTTGGTAAAATATTGAAAAATCCCTGAGGCTAAAAATTCTTAAAGCTAAAGAATATGTCTATAAACCAAAGACCAATGGAATGAAATCGCACATACAGCCCTAATATTCTATTTTCTTATCTTATCTCATTGCAACATTACTCTTCCCAAAATCCAAAAATAAACAAACAAAAAAAGCACACTGATGCTCCCCCCCCCCCCAGTTGCTTCTGGTTAGCATTTGTCCACTTAGATATTTATATCCTTTAAATTTCACACAGCCCTTACAGAAAAGTGCTGTCAGTTGAATTTGTCCAGTATTAGGACAATCTCTGTGTGCCTTCAGTGTTTAGTCATGCCGGCCACATGACCACGGAGATGTCTTCAGGCAGCGCTGGCTCTTCAGCTTTGAAACAGAGATGAGCACCGCCCCATAGAGTTGGGAATGACTAGCACATATGCGCGAGGGGAACCTTTACCTTTAGGACAATCTCCAGCATTCTGTTATATTGAGACAGTGTGTTTTAAGCATCCATATTCTACAAAGATCAGTTTCTCTTATAACATCTTTATCCTCTGTGTTGAATGATATTTGCAACTATAGAAATCAGAATCTTATAAAGTAGAAAAGTTAAGTACAAAAACAAGAAGCTGACTGTAAGAACTTAATAGTCAGTTCCTGAAACATTTTTGTCATCTAACACTTTGGTTGACTAGCTTGCTTTTACTCCCCTCCTCCACCCCCTGAATTTAATATCTTTCTTCCTGCTAATATCATAGTTATCAATTACATTATTCTCTTGCACCTTATCCTTCTTAAACCTTACTTGCCTGACAACTTCTTTCATTCTTTTGAGGTGATTCTTCTGCATAAACCTTGGCTTATGTGACCCTATATAAATTGTCATTATAACAGGGATTTAGTCATTTAGGATGACCTTCTAAGTAAAATTCAGCATTCTGAAAGTGCCATAAGCTAAATGTCCCTAAAGTCATTTCATTCCTCCCAGGATTCAAGATATCCTGTGATTCAACCCAAACAAGACTCTTCACATCTCAGTTACTGACAATAGTTTTAAAAAACTCAGCATTTTACAATCCAGAGATTAAAGCTTCTCATTGCTTCAGAATGATTTCAATAAGTGTTTTAAATTAAGTCTCTAAAACTACTTGCCCTTTTCAAATTCAAGCTCTTTCAACATTTTGAAATGCTTCAATAATCTTACATGGCTATGCACAATTTGAACTGATTTAATATTCTTTCAGTGTGTCAAGGTTTGTATATAGTCCTTCTTAATGAGCTCTTCAGATCTGCACGTGAATTATCCAGTTTTCAAAAACAGATCTCCAAAGTCGGTACAAACTGGTTTAGAACGATAAAGTTTTTGCCAACTCTTCAGAAACCTGAATAAATAACGTCAACTTTCAAATCACCTAAACAACCCAAAATTAAAACTATTCATGTCTACTCATTAACTTCCAAATGGGTTGTAAATTATATTTTAAAATGAATAAACTATACAATTAAGTAAATTGAGCTAATACAGATATCTTGATAAAATCATGTTTTAAATAATGTAAAATTATACAGAAACCATCAACTATTAAAATAAATTTGAAACCTTAATCCTTGAAAAGATCCAGCCACTTACACACACACTTTTTGCTAATCTGACACTGTGTTCCTTTTCTTGGTAGGTGGACTGTAATACAGCTAAAATTCTATTTACTCAGAAATTTCCCAGGCAATCTTAATAAAGTGTTAAAACATTTGCAAGACACATTTGACAAAATCCCCAAAATCCAAAGAACAAAACAGAATTTCTAATTTTAAGTATCTTTATTTAAATAGATGTATCAATATCTAGTTAATTTACAACATAAACTGTCCAGTATGTATGTACCAATTTCTTGTGCCATTCTAACCAGAAAGACATCAAAGTAGCCACATCTACCCTCCCTGAAGGCATTTTGCTTTCATTGTTTGAGTACCTTTCTGAATAATACTACAACATCATCTTGATAGCTTATGCAGCAAAATGTGTTTCAAAAGATGGAAGGACTCAAGGAGACCATTAAAAATGCAATAGTATATATACCAAAACAATATCATATTTTAATTATGTTCTGTGTAAAAGACCAGTTGACTTATAATCTTCTTTATGTATTCAATATGCGCCTTCAATATATAAAAAATAATAAGTAGAAGCAAGACTTTGGTTCTATCTATGTTCTGAACAATGTTACAATGCATTTCATTTGCTCTTTACAGTAATCTTGCATCACATCTACAAAGTGTTGAAATACAAGACAGAATCAACATAAGGTGATGCCATTA